CGGTGTGCGCCAAGAAGGACCGTATCCACCTGCCAGCTCCCAGCGCTGTTCCGTGCCTGCCATGCCAGCTCCCGCGAGCCGCCCTCTACCACCTCCAGTGCCAGGAAGCCTGGCCAAGGGGGCACCATGGGTGGGTGCCTGGACCCCTCCCTCTGTGCACGGGGCACCTGGGGGGGCAGGGTGGGGAGCCAGGGGCTGTACCTCGGGGGTGACTCCGGAAATAGTAGGCCAGGCTGAGCTCACAGCTGGGACCAGAAGGGCCCAGGGGCGGGGTGAGGACTCGGGCCTCGGCCCCCAGCTGCCCCCAGGCCCTCTGCAGGGACAGGAAGTGCCCTGGGAGAGCAAGCATGAGCTGGTTCCTTCCAGGGCACCCTCTGCCCCGGGACCCGCAATCCAGAGGCCCTCCCTGGGGAACCCCTCTGGGGACGTGACTCTTCCGAGGGCTCAGGCCTCACCAGTAGCTGCCCCACCGGCGTCTGTGCCAGGGCCCCCGCTCTCCTGGGCTGTAAGCCAGCGCCACTGCAGCCGTCCCACGCTGGCATCCTCCCAGCCGCCAGCCGTGGGGGACTCGAAGTCCGAGGTGCCTGTGACAGCAGCAGCTGAGCGGCCTGCACCGGCTGGCAGAGTGCCCGTCATCCCGAATGTGCCTTACCGCAGCCCTCCTCGTCCTCGCCCCCTGCACACTGCTGCTGGAAGTCGCAGCGCTGTTCCGGGGGCACACACAGGTCCCCGCACGGGAGGTGCTCCGGCTCGCAGAGGTTCCGAGGCCTCGTGCTGGAAAGCTGGGGCTGGGGGCCTGGGGTCCAGAGCCCCGGAGGCAGGGTCTGCAGGGCGGGTGCCTCTGGGGGGCAGAACCATGGTCAAGTGTGGGGCCCTGGGCTACCCGTGCTGTTCAGGACGGGGCCTGGCAGGCTCACCTGGGACCAGCTTGCAGTGGTCAGACAAGATGAGATCATCCAGGCCCACCACGCCGCCCAGGCCTGTCTCCGCAGTGAGGAGGATCTGGGGGCAGCAGGGGCTCAGGCGGCTCCCAGCACCCCTCAGCCCCCGTCTGTCCACAGCCTGTACTTCACTCAGCACGATGGCTCTCCCACTGCGGCCAGAGTGGCCTGGCCCTCCCCTGCGTTTGGCAGGGCCCCGGACCCACCCCACATGCAGCCCCGGTCAGCCAGCCTTACCCGGAAGGGCTGGGCACAGTGGACGTCGACCCGGTCGCGGACCCAGGCAGCCCTCAGCTGCCCATGCCGGCTCCGCAGCAGGACGGGGGCCTGGTGGGCACCGGACCCCCGTGTCTGCAGGAACAGCCGGAGCCAGCCGTCCTCAGACCCGTGCAGGTAGTAGTAGAAGACGAACTGGGGGACAGAGCTGGTCAGGGAGGCGCACGCCCCTGGGCAGCATCAGGGCACCCGTGTCCCGCTCACTTACCGAGCAGTTGTGGGAGCCCGAGGCTTGAAGCTCAGGGCTGGAGAGGATAGCTGGGGCACCCAGCTCAGCCACGGACATCAGGAAGTGGCCTGGGGGAGAGGGCAGGTGAGGGCGGGGCACAGGGCGGTGGCCAAGTGGCAGGACCGCAGCCAGGGCCCCCTGCAGGCCTCACCCTGAGCGCTGTTCCGGCTGTGGTCTCGACGTGGCCAGGTGGGGTGTGTGGGGCCCCCAGCGCTGTTGTTCCGGGCCCAGTCCCCTGAGGGGGTCCATGGGCCCAGGCCCATCTCAAAGTCTGTGGCCAAGTGGTGGCCTGGGTAGGGGCAGGGCTATGAGCAGGGCCCTACCACCCCCGAAGAGCCACACCCAGGGTGCCCTCGGACAAGCCTGCTGTGCGTTCTATGCAGTTAACAAGTCTCACTGTGCCTCGTTCCTTCGGGCCCAGCCTCCGGAGCAGCTCAGCCCCAGGCTCCCTTGGGTGGGGACCCAGCCTGGGCTCTCGTGTGGCCCTAGCCTGCCGAGCAGCGGCACTCATATTTTTTTAATGCCAGGGAGGGGTGTGAGAGCATGCCAGGAAGAGAGTGCGGGGAGAGTAGCCCCCAGGGGCCTGTTCTTTTCCCCCACCGCTCCTTCCCAGCAGGGTCTCGGGCTCACACTCGTGTGCCCAGTGTGTTGCCACTGGGGCTGGTTTGGGTCACTACAGGCCAGGGAGCCCAGCGCCTTTGCACGGCAGATAACCACTGGGCCACGCGGGGGTCAGCCGTGTGCTGAGCGACCGCGGGCGGCCCAGGCCCAGGCCGGCACCCCAGCCTCACCGCAGGTGAGTGGGTCCTCGTCAGAGCGGTCCCCACAGTTATCTTCCCCGTCGCACAGCTGGGGGGGCTCCACGCAGGCCCTGTTCCGGCAGTGGTGGTGGCCCAGCGGGCAGGCGGCCTGGGGAGCTGAGGTGGGGGATGGTCAGCTCTTCACCCTGGCCCCAAGGCCTTGGGGTAAGGGGGCGGGGGCAGGGACAGGCCGGGACAGTCTGAGTGTGACCCGGGACCCGGGCCTTACTGGGCAGCCCACAGTTCCAGAACACCACATCGTCCAAGGCCACAGCAGCTCTGTGGGTGGCATTCCGGGTGGCAGAGAAGGTCACCTGCAGAGAGGGGCTTCCCAAGGCCTGAGGCAGGGCCTGCCA